CTCTCTCTCTCTCTCTCTCTCTCTCTCTCTCTCTCTCTCTCTTTCTCTCTCTCTCTCTCTCTCTCTCTCTCTCTCTCTCTCTCTCTCTCTCTCTGCATCTCTTTTACCTCCATCCCGTTGGGATGGAGGTAACCGATGTCCCTGGTCCGTTCTCTTATCGCAAAATCCCGGAATGTCTTGTTTATGACAGCTTCTGGGTACGATCTGATCCTCAGCTCCTTCTTCAGGCACAGTACAGGCAGGGTCCGCAGTGTGGTGTCCATCGAGGATCTTACGATGCGGTGTAAGTAGCTCGTGATCATGGCCACCTTGGTCTGCTTGTCACTGTAAGATGTGTAGTCTTGTATGCTTTGGTAGATGAGTGGGCCATCCTCAGTCAGAGGTTCTTGGTTTTTCATCTGCGGGATCGATGTGATCTTTGGACCATCCTGATCCACGAAGATCCTGCATCCCAGGAATGACAGTGTCCCGTCATCCTGGTCAGTGTTCTAGTGTCAGATCAGGTGGGCAGCACGTCCGCAGATTCTCCAGCATATCCCTGGCTTTCCCCCTTGACTCAGCTTTCTCATGTAAGTATCTCACAAAGATAGCCACGTCGTCCATCAACCTCAGACCAAGCGTCATTCTGCGGTCCGTGCGTAGACTCAGGACGTACGCAGCTTCCCACCTAGCGCATAGAATGCATGCTAGTGCTGGGCTCGTGTGTCCTCCCATCGGAATACCTTTTGATTGTTGTATGAGCTCCCCTTCAGCCATGCTATAGGAGTGATCCAGTTCATATCTGACCCAGTCTCGAACAAACTTGAACTTGACCGAGTAATGTCCGTCTCTGGCTTGCTTCCCCATCGCCGGCTTCTTCCCCCGACAGTTCACATTAACCCGGTCAAATCCTTTTCCCTCCATCATTGTAGTCAGCCAGTCAAGTGATTCTCTGATTCTGTCATGTGAAAGTTCAGAAAACATGTTTTTGATGTCGTAGCTGGCTGTTACCACTCCTTGCGTACGATTTAAGTTCTCTGCCCATGCTGTCAGTCTGCCGATCGCATCTTCGGCTGATACTGTGTTGAAGTGAAGTTTCTTCGCCAGACATCCGAGCATGCATTGCAGGGCCTTTGCCACCCTCTTTGCACCCTCCTTCGTTGGTGCATTCCAGGCTGGTGCAATCGGCCTCCATGTCTTAGGATCCTTGTGTTTTGGGATGACGTAGGCATCCCCAAACTGCCCCTTCGTCCTCCAGGATCCCATCCTTTTCAGGTCCATCTCTTCGTACTTCTTCTTACATATCGTAAGTGCCTCGTTCATCGTCATGCTGCACATTTTGAAGTTATGGCCATGCCAGAAGATGTCGTGTAGAGCTCTCGCGTAGACCATGGGGCATACGATGTATGTGGCCCGAGGGTTACGATCCATTGGCATGCACACTAGATCACGCAGTTTCTGCTTCCATGCCTGTGTTACTACGTACTGTTCATCTCGGATCTCCTCCTCCTCGACAACACACATTTCTACTTCTGACTTATGCACAGTGAGAGTCTTACCTTTAATCCTGAAGATCTCTCCTAATCCGTCCAGGATTGCAGTCATGATCCCTCGTTTCACATGACAGGTCTGCGACGGTATATTCCTTGCGTTGAGAACGAAGTCTGGTGCCCCAATTTCGGATAGCCTACATCGCACATGGCCTTCCACCAGCGGGAAGGGGCTCTCTGCACACCTGCAGATGCTACCATTCGAGCGCGCGAAGTCTCGATGGTTGTGAAGCATATCGCCGACGGTTTGTTTTTTCATCCAGACAGTGCAAATATGTCTTCGTACGATGGTAGTAATCTCCTCTTTCATGCCAAGGTCTCCAATCTTCCCCTCGGTAACATCAGCGATCTTTCTCCTGTCTACTCTATCATTGTAAGGGATCTTCACCGTTATCCTTTTCCTTAAATTAATTCCCAGCTTCTCATTAATTATCTTAGATAAAATAGTCCTCATCCTCTGTCTACTTCTCTTCTCGAAACCCCTAGTAGCTTGGTACATGTATGTTAGCTCGTGGTCTTCCTTCTTCCGAAGCAGTTTTCTCCGCCAAGGCTGAGTGAGTAGAAGCAGAAGTTCCCTCATGATCTTTGCTGGAAAGGTGATCGTCTCCGTCGGATCTTTGATGGTTAGCGGCCCTCCCTTCTCAATTTGTCTCTTTCCTTCTTTGAGCGTGCATGTCTTTCCCTGTATTTCTATTGTCGTCATTCCGAACCTCCGCTTGAGAACCTTCCAGTCCTCACACCATATTTCCCCGCTACACGTGAGGTTCAGATTCTTCCGCCCTTCCTTGACCGCTAGCTCCAGGCAGTCCGTCAGTCTCGTGGTAGTCATTCCATTACCATCCTCTAATTTGAGTAGGTTCCCTCCTTTTTCTCGCCTTCGCTGTCTCCCTTTTCTCTCACGTTTACCTCTCCTCTTCCTTCTCCTCCTTGGTTGTGTCGGATTCCGGTCATGTTGGTTGAGAGTTGGAGACCAACGTCTGATGAGACACCTCTCAATCCTTTTCAGATCATCATCACTTTCTGCCGCCGTGAGGGGTAATGCCACGTAATCTTCCGCACCTGTCTTCCGGAGCCATCTGATCAGTGCGTATACACATCGCGAAGGATTTTCCCAATCAATTTTCTCGTCCTCCCACAGATTCCGAAATTTCTCAGCCCACGGTAGCGCTCCGTATATTGTAAGAATTACAATCACGTATCTAAGCGTCGTATCTAACATGTTTCCTACTGCTCTATTCTGGTTACATCTCTGCCTATAGATAACCAGCGAGTCCCACACGGCCCAAGCACGGTCGATGTTCATGCATCAGTTATCCATCAGATCCGGATTTCTCCCCGGAGTTTCATCCTCATCCTCAACTTCATCAGATCCTGTGTGTCGCTGCATGATCGCCTCATGCATGCGACCGCCTATCAGCTCTTTGATCGCCTTTTCTCTCGTCACATACTCAATTTGTTCTTCTCCGCACAGGCACTGTAGCTCAGCCATAGATTGTGTGCGGAGATAGCTTCTCATACTCATGCAGTAATCGACCACGCTCGTCTTCCGTCCGCTAGTTGTGATCTCCTTCCAACCTGATATGAGTGTCGCATTGTCCACGGTTGTATTCTTCTTTGCTTGGGCTCGGGTCCTTGGCGTGCGTGGTGTGGTCGGTTCTTCTATGCGTACCCCCAGATTAGGCTGTCTGACTCTCTTTTGAAGTCGCGATGGTGTACTCGGAGTCTCCACTCTTGCTCTCCTGGTTGGTCGTGTGGAAGATGGAGCGAATTGATCCTCTTCGGGTTCTAACTCACGTCGAGCTTGTTCCATCTCCCACTCGATTTCTTGTTCCATCACCTTCTTCTTCATGCGAGCGAGATCGCGTTCTTCTTTGAGTTTCCGTAGTTCCGCCAGCTTTCGTCGAAGCTCCTCCCTTTCTTTATTCGGACTCTCCTCCTCTGCCAATTCTCTCTCAAGTTTCAGCACCTCACTTCTCAACTTTCCAACCTCCTCCCGCTGTTGGTCCTTCGCTTGCATCTTCGATCGAACTTCCTCCATCTGGCCCGTTAGCTTGTCGTGTAGCGTCTTCAGTTGTGACGTCATTGCAGACATCAGCCGAGCATCTCGGATCTTTGCCTGCCTCTCCAGCTCCGTCTTATGTTGCCGGTGCAGCTCTTCCTCCCTCCTTCGTCTCTCCTCTTCTAGCTTCTGTCGTTCTTCTTCTTGCTTTAGTTCCTCCTCTTTTCGTTCTTTCGCAATGTCCGCGCAGAGCTGCCTCATCCATGAGATAACCTCCATATCCTTCTTCTGTTGCCATGATAGCCCATTATATCTATAGTAGCCGCTACTATTATTATTCTTATTATTATTACTACCAGATGCAGCGCCCGCCCGCTGGGGGCAGTCCCTTGCAAAATGCCCTTCTTGTCCGCAAGTATAACACCCCATCCTCGTTTTTTCGGTTAGTCTCCACCTCACTCCGCTTGTTAGTAAAAAACGACCACCGTCCTAGGTGTCCTTCCCGGTCGGTTATCGTCACACTCCTCTTTCTTGGATAGTGATCACCACATACACGCAGTGAATCCCCCCCGGCGGCGGACAGGCGCGGCCAAGTCCGCGGCCGCGGCCAGGCCGAGAAGCCCGCGGACGTGTCCGCGCGGACGCACGCATTCGCGGACATGTGGCGGCCGCAGGGGAGGGGGTTTGAAGATTCTGGCGGCGCCATGTGGCGGCGCATCCCCTGCCCCACACCCCCACACAAAAAAAAAAACGAAAAA